GATTAAATTATTGATTCTTTTAAGAATTAAAATCTGAAAGGGAAAAAATAATACATCAGAAATCTGGTGTGTTCAAGTCTAGTTAGCAGACAGCACTATTCTGGCTTCTGATCAATATAAGGGCCAACTTGCTGCTGCTGGCTTTTTTTTTTTTTAATCACCGATAAATTAAGCTTCCAAAAATTACATCTCTCCTCAACATTCAATAAGATGAGATTTGTTCTCCCCTAAAGATATGATTGGCTCTTTCTGCAATAGGGCGGAGAGAGAGCAACGAAGTCCAGAAAATGAACACCTTCCACTTGGTAGTGTTTAAAATCACAGAAGCACAAAGTCACTACCGTGCTGCTCTGGAAAGATCCGATGAGGAGACGTGGCAAATTTGAGTAAACCCAGCCAGCAGCCCAGGAAAGAAACTCCTTTGTTTTTTGGCAGGCCCTTAAATTGGTGAGTTTCAACAAAATAGAAAATAGAGCTTTGGGTTGAATGGCGCTTTAAAGGGAACGAGGGGAAGAGTTAGTACCATGGTTCGTGGAGCAGACAGGGGGTCTTCACACACTATGTGGACATTCTTTTTCTTTGTGTTGGGGGTAGAGCGGTTCAGAGCCTTTGTTCTGATTACCACTGTGTATCTGGGGAAGTGAACTGAGGTTTCTTTTCCCTAATGGGGTTGGTCTTCTGTCTATCCACTAACGAACGCTTCTACAAAACATCTCAGAAACAATTCCAGACCAGAAATAAAATTTACAACATGCCTAGCAGTTAAAAATGAGAGACTGTAAATATGGATTCTTTTGACTTTTTATTTCTTTTCCTGCAGTACCCTTTCTTTGACTAAGTAAGTGAATGATTTTAGTCTATTTGTTCATCTCAGTATTTTTTAGAAGCTTTGTTTGGCATGGCTTATTTGCTTGTTTGTTCTTGAAAAGGAATGGTTAGATTCTGGCATTGGAAGTTTCTGCTCGTGTTTCACTTTGACCGTTATTATTACTAACTTTTATTGATAGTTACTTTACCACTCGATAAATCATAGCTGATGTGATTTGTACAGATCTCCAAGTTCAGGGCTGGGATATTTGAATCTGGAACGTAAGTTAGAGGATTTCTGGACTTTCTGCAGATGGTGTTTTGAGTTTGGTTGTTATTTCTGTTCTGGCTCAGATTTCTTTTTACACCCTCTGAGCACTGAAGAGATCAAAGGTCCACAGTGAGGCTGATGTGGAAAGATGCTTCCAGCCCAGCGACAGGTGTGAGGCCCAGTGTTCTTTGTGCTGCTGGTTGGAGTGTTGAGGTTGTAGTGTCACCGTCTCCGGGGCTCGTAGCTTGCTGTGTGCTCTTGAGCAAGTCTTAGGTGGAGCACAGCCTTTGTAAACATGCAGAGATAGGGTAGTGATGGATTCTTTGGGAAGGTACCTTTGATGAATGCAAAGTTTCCTGGGGGAAAAGCAGAGGGTACACACCAGAGGTAGGCTGCATGGTCTGATACCCAGGTGAAGCGTCTCTCGTGTTCTATGAGCAAGGAGATTGAGGGCGGACGACCAAACTATGAATTGTGGCATACAATTTGTATCTCAGAAGTAGGCGAGAGATGAGGTGGGTTTCCTTTGAAATTTATCACTCAGAATTTCAGAGGAGAAGATGAATAAAGGACAGTAGAAACTCAGTTGACATTTTAAAAGAATTAACATTAACAATCTAAAACACATTGGAGCACATTTCTCTATTGCTACTGATGTTCCATGACCTTACCCTGAACAGCTTGCTTCAAGTTGTACTGGTTAGGAGTAAATTCACAGGTAGGTTGTTATTCTCAGCAGATAATGCTGCTCTCTTCCCCCCGCTCCCCTCCCCCATGGCTTAGAAGATATCGAATATATTGATCATTGTGTTGCCTTGGTTATGTGGGGAAATATTTTTCTTCTCTTCTTTTTTTTCCTTTCCTTTTTTCTTTCTTCCCTTTCTTCTTCCTTCTTTCCTTCCTTTCCATATTTGCTACTATACTTTTAGTTAAGTGGGTTCAAAAAAAATTCTACTCTTATCTTCTTTTCTAGTGTCTTGTTGAACCAGAAGTGTGTATATGCAATTCTGTTCAACTGCCAGACTCTGCTAATTGCCGGTTTTCTTTGTGGCTGTGAACATTTTTCCTGTAGAGAAGACAAAGATCTCATTAACACTAGATAATAGATAACGGCTACTTGTCTGCAAGACCGATTAGGATATTCAAGCCCTTAAACACTTTATTTTGCTTCGTTATTACCGCTTTGCATGTCCAGGTGCTTTTAGATTGGTTTTGTTATGCAAAAGAAACATAGCATCTTCATGTATCCCAAATATTTTCACTGTACTACAGATATGATCTATAATATATATACATAATATAGCACATTAATAGTCTTATTGTGGATTAATACAAATTAAGCATCTGAATCTGGAAAAAGGTCATCATGAGGAGAGTATCTGACGGGTATTGAGTTTACAGAGTACTTTGTGAGCAAGAGAAAACACAGTTACTGAAGGGAAAAACACTCAGGGTGTTTGTTCACTGGGCCCTCAGGCTATAGCTAATGTGTACCTAGACCAGTGCTGGCGTGAGACGTGGAGCACAGATGTGGAACAAATCTTTTATTATAAAGGTAGGCAATTAATATCATGAAACTAACGTGAAATGATTGGAGAATGCCTTCATTATCCACGATCTTCCTCCACAAATAAGAAGCCCCAGTGCAGAAAAGCCTTGAGCAGAAAAGCAAGCTCAGAGTGAGAGAGCCTGAATGCATGCCCCAGTACTGGCCCAAGACCAGACCAAACCAGACCACACCAGACCACACCAGACCACACCAAACAGAGAAAATGCTATGGGTCCAAGGAAAATGCTATGGGATTTTCCCCCCCAAATATTTTTGAGAATAATTTTATGAGTCAGTAAAGGTAAACAGAATTGGGCTCTTTTTCTTGATATGGACTTGAGTTTATTTTGTCTTTGGAGGGGACCATGTCTGCTGAGCAACATGTTCTAAGTACCTTCAGTCTGATCATGAGGATTTGGGTCCAGTAAGGCCTCAGTTATTCCTTAATTTTAAATGTGCAATTATAGTGTTGAAGATATTTTTACACACACACACACACACACACACACACACACACACACACACCCCTAGCAATTTTCTCAATTATTCCCTTAAGAAAATTATGGCCTACAACCAAGTATGATAATATTTTATTGTCATATTTGTATATTTTTGTATATATTTCTATCATTATTAATTTTCTGGACTATTAGTTGTATCTTTTCTCATTTGTTTGAAATGAATACTTGTGCTCCTTAAGTCTAAATAACATGGTATACATTTTACAACCTACCTCATAGTTCTGTCCTCATAGTTCTGTGTTTGTAGATTTGACAACTATTTGAATTTACACACACATACACACACACACACACACATTTGTTTCAGATTAGACTCTGAGAAAATTTGTTATACAATGGCTGTTCTTGTGGCTTGCCAAATATGGGGGAAATAAATTTCCCTGTATGTAAAAGCTAGAAAGGGCACCCCTCCCTTGATTTACAATTTTCTTTCCCATCCATTGTCCTGTGTCTCTATGTGAAGAGGTAAGAGCGACGGGGAAGAATAACCAAGAGTGGTTGTAGATACACCCAAGAGTTTAAGAGATGTGCTCAAGGTCAGACTCAAGTCTGAAAACGGACTCAAGTCCTTATCTTGTGAGCCTGTGCCCCATGGGAAGCGAGGACTAGGCAGGTGCATGGGATGAGAGTCTGCCAGTAAGGGGGAGTGGGGAGTCAGAGGTGGGAGGGGAAGGTGAGCTTTCACTTTGAGTTGAGCTTGAGGCAGAGGGGCATGGGCAGCCAGGGCTTTCAGTGTGGTTTCCTGTGGCTCACAGGGAGTGGGCACATGAACAAGTATTAACCACAGCGACCAGTGTCCTCTAAGTGTACTTGGATGTAGGTGTAGGCCCCGTCTGTTGAAAAGTGCAGTGTGAGCTGTAAACACCCAGGTAGCTAAGGCTTTAGTCTGTCTCCTTTGGAGACACTGAGTTGCATCCCTTGATGTCTGCCCATGGCTGGTGGGCAGCCCTGAGGCACAGCACACAGGGCCCCAGGGCCCTGCTATGATTGCAGGCCTCCTGGCTACCTCCAGGTGGCTTCCCCGAGCGCCCGACAGCGACATCTGCTGGTCCTGGTCCCAAGGAGCAAGGTCAGCATGGCTGAACACATCTTCATTACTATTTCTCCAAAATGACAACCATCAGTCTAACAGCAGGGAAAACAAACCACTCCTCAGTCTCATACTGAGGGATATCGTGTGACTTTTATTTGTTCGGGGCACCCACCAAAGGTTTCTTGTAAACCAGTACACAAAGCTGGGGGTTTTGTCTATAAAGTGAGTGGTAGGAGGAAATAATGAAGCTGCTTCCTGCTTGAGGAAACCCGAGAACCATTCTTGCTTTTGTAAGTCTAGCCTGTCACAGGCAAGGTTAAATTCTTTTCTAAGTGGCCCCAAGTTTCAGCATAACCTTGCCAATCACCTCAGCTCATTAGCTTCAGTTGTTGAAGTGGTTGTCCATCTTTCTGTGGGCTTCCTTAGAGCTGTTTCCTCCATCGGCAAAGCATTCAAGCTCACGGAGTGGCGAAATGGTGCTTCTTGGCCATGTGGATCGTCAGAAAATACTCTGACAGATTGAAAATAATCTATGCAATGTCTAGATTCAACACTGCATTTTTGTTTGCCTAGCTGCAGGTAGAAATTGAGAGGCAGTTCAACTGTCTGGCTTTCAGTCTCTTATTCGCTTAAGGGAGGTATGACGTCACTTTGAGCTTCCTTTGGTGTGTGTGGATCTTCAAAGAAACATGCTCAGGCCTTCACCAGCGATGGAGCAGAGAGTCATGTAGGACTCTGCGAACTTGCCTTCTTTGTTTATGTATTTATTTGGAGAAGGGAGGATGATGATCATACGAGCTTACTTAGTCAGGTCTGATTTGCTTTGTAGACTCCGCCTGGTGGCTAGTGGACAACATGGCCTTCAACCACACTGCTGGGACCCAGGGCCAGGGCCTTCCACACTACCTGCCAGAGGAGGACCCCTTTACTTCTAAACTTTCCTGGGAAGCAGATATAGTGGCTGGCTTCTACCTCACCATCATTGGTAAGCTCCCTCCGTTCTCCTGTGTCAAGGCTGTTCTTAGAAAATGCCCAGGCGGAGATGTTGATTTTGCACAAATGTTCTGTAACACGTGCATGAGTGTGTTTTTTTGTTTTTGTTTTTTTAGTGGAGCCGAAGAGTTGGGAAGATGGCGCGGCGTTCTGGCATTCCATAACTATCATAGAAATGACCATTATTATCATTCTTGGGGACAGATGTTCTATGGAGTCAAAGAACTTTCTATAGCACAATCATCCTGACAGTGCATGCATGTTGATTATTTTACCAGTAGGGTTCTTGTTGGAATACAAAGTAAAAACGATGATAGCTTGCTGGTGGAAAATGCTTTTGATTTAGTTCTATGGTTTTTAGAGTCAGAATGGACCCTGGACATCATCAAGCTCAGCTTCCTCCTCTCCTAATCCAGGAAACTCTGTCCCAGTGAAATACTAACTGTAGACATGTGCTGCATTTCCTCTGTCCAAAAGTAACGCTGCCCCGTATCCGCAGAGCCTTGCCATTGAGGAGAGCTGAAAAAAAGAAACAAAGTCTGATTTGTCAGTGGAAGTCAATCCAGGGTGCAAAGATTTCTGCGTAGAACTCACAGAGGGATGCACTTGCTGCATTTGCTTAAAGTACTGCTCATGATGGCCCTTGAACTCATGCACCCGTGTCTTCCAAGTAGACCGGTGCTGCGGCATGAAAACCCACCATATTCTGACATCTTAGGATCAGGAAAAAGTGTCAGGCTTAAGACATCTCCTTGCTAAAAGAAATTGTTTACCGGTTGAACACACACATATTTGGGCTAGCTCATATTAAATTAAGTATTAATTAGTTAAAATTAACTTGCCCGTACCCTCTCACTTTGCTTGAAATATTTACGATAGTCCACTTTTCTGGTTTGCCTTCTATGTCATGTGGAGACATTTAAGATTTAACTACAATACTTTCGTGTTTTTAAAGTTTGAAGTTGGTATTTTAAATTTGGGTGACCAGAATACAGGTGGGTTATATCTTTAGGTTGGTCTGCCTTTAATCTTTTCAGATGTTGAGTCAAGCCTCTTTTTCTCTCTCTTTCTCATCCTATCTTTCTCTCTCCTTTGTCTCTGTCTTTTCTTCCCTTCCTTGTTCCTTCCACTTTTCTGTTTTGTTTCTTTCATTTATGGATTACTGACAAAGAGTTTCATTTATTTCCTGAAGTTAGAAAATAATAAAACTCATCAGAAAATCGTTGAGATCCTTTTATGGTCAGTGCTTGAGGCCAAAGGAATCTTTGAGATTGAATGAGAAATTTCCCAGCCATTCCCTGGGTGACTGTCATTCTTGTTAGTTAGCTTTTTACTAATTGAACTTCAATTTAATTCAAATATAAATATATACAGAGCAACCCTTCTTTGCCACCATGAAATTGCTGGGAATGGAGCAATAATTAGAATGCTGGAATGGAGACCATTGTGTCATAACATCTACACTGCAATTTTATTCAACTCAAGTACTTTTGATAATCAGAAAAAGGCAGACAAACAGTCATCTTATAAGTTACATTTAATTGCAAAGAATTCATCAAAAAGTATCGTGTTTCACCTGTCAGAATGTGTCAAACAATGCAACACAGGGTGAGCTATCATTCCATTCTCCATTCTACCAGGAGGGATGGACTACAGCAAGCGAGGCAAGCAGAGTGGGTAGGTGGAGGAAATCAGGAGAATTTCTTGGTGCACATGGCAGTTAGAAAGGAAATCATGATTATATTCAAATGCTTGTATGCTAAGACAAATCTAGAAAATCAGGTCTAAAAAGAGCATCAGGAGACGCAGGAAGCTGGGGGTGGAGTCAAATACAAGAAAGGAATAGAGTGAGGCCAGGTCATCTGGAGGGTTGTTGGTTGAATTCAAATTCTTCTAGGTCTTGGTTTTGACCCCATGTCTGCTAGTCACCTTCTCTTAGTATAGATGAGCTTGCGTAAATGTGTAATTCTGTGTGTGTGTGTGTGTGTGTGTGTGTGTGTGTGTGTGTGTGCCAGTACTGGAGCTGGAACTCAGGGCCTGGGTGCTGTCTCTCAGCACTTTCACTCAAGGCTGGCACTCTACCACTTGAACCACAGCTCTACTTCACTTTTTGGTGGTTAAATATCTTCAGATAAAAGTCTTACAGACTTTCTGCCCAGGCTGGCTTTGAGCTTGCACCTGCAGATCTCAGCTTCCTGAGTAGTTAGGATTACTGGCGTGAGCCACTGGCTCCTCACTAGATTCCTTTTAAGGAGATAATATGGAAGGAATAAAGTTCTTAGTGACCTTCACCAGAAGTGGAAAATCAGAGAATGAGAATATAAACCTGAATTTGGAATGCAGGAGAAATAAAATAGAGACTCGTTTCCCACCTCCACTCTGATACATCGATTGCCCAGTTTATTAACAGCCTCTATGTGAGATGTTTTTGTACTGGTAAAAAGGATCCATCCAAACTTTTTTTTTTTTGCCAGTTGTTGGGGCTGAACTCTGGGCCTCGGCGCTGTCCCTCAGCTCTTCAGCTCAAGGCTAGCGCTCTACCACTTGAGCCACAGTACCACTTCTAGCTTTTTTTTTCTGCTTATGTGGTGCTGAGGAATCGAACCTAGGGCCTCATGCATGCAAAGCAAGTGCTGTACCACTGAGCCACCTTCCCAGCCCCAAGGATCCAAACTTTTACAATTTTCAAAATATCTCCCTCCCCATCTCCGACTCTATCTTCTCAATCTTGCTACACTAGCCTTGTGAGATAAATTTGCTTTCTCTTAATGGTCATCTACAAGCCAGGTTGCCTGTGGAATTTTTACATAATCATATAACATCTTAATAGAGAGTTGCTTTGGGCACTGGGTGAAACCCTGTGAAGTGGCGATAAGAAAAAAAACTCAAGGAAAGAAAAGTAGGAAAACAAATAGTCTCAAAAAGATATCCAGATAAAGGGTGGTTAAATGAGCCTTATATTTATATATATTGAATGCCTATGATGGACCTCATCTTCTTAATCTCTTTGTTGAATACAACCTAGACGGAATTATTTAATGACACACTTCATTTTCCCAGTGTGCCTCGCTAGATGGTTTCCTTCAATGAAACATGAATTTCATGTTAGTTGGTTTGCTTCCGGACTCCATAATTGCCTCTATTTCCCTCCTCTTCTGCTTTAAGAAAGCAAAAGGGACTTTAAGAGAGCAAGAAGCAGCCTTGCCTCCAGGGAGTCAGGTTTCCTAGGAGCCAGATGAAGCCGGTTTCTGGTGGTTTCACACCATCAGACTTGCCTTTCCTTTCCTCGCACCCCCCGGCTCCCCTCCCCCCCCAATGAATTGTGGTGGAGAAATTAAAATAGAAATTATCAGTAGAAAAATCTGGGTTTCTCCTGTTAATACTCTCCTTATTCCTTACTACTAAAGGCAGCTGTACCAGATTCTCATTTACACACAGCTACACTATGAAGCAAGAATTCCTGAGGAAATCTACTCTACATGTTAAGCTTTGGAAGTAGGTGTATTCTTTTCTTAAATACAGTCAGTAGGGATTGGGTCTTTTTTAAAAAATTGGATTTAAACTGGGTTTGTAGAAGCTTTGTGAACAGTTTCATTGTCATACCAAAGGCAATTAGTCATTGATAAAAATAATATTGAAAAAGTGGGAGCACATAGATGCTATTGTTGATAGGTTTCGTGGGGTGAGGGACACTTTCTCTCCCCTTTGGTGGGAGGGGCAGTTCCCATGTGACCAATCATCACCTACCCACCCTTGATATCTAGTCCAATAGCAGCCAAAGGCTGTCCTGTCTGCCAGATATCCAGCATGCCTATCTCCTCAGGGGTCAAAGTCCTGAGACTTGAGTCCGGGAAACGGCCCCTCCCATGCCGGGGATCACACCAGCCTTGTCTGCTCCCCGGCCGAAGTCACCTCTGCTGGTGGGCTTCATCTTTAGCATTTACCAAGGACCAAGGGCCTGACCCCACTTGTAAGAGGGAGGGAATTCTATAAGGCTAATGATCTATGAAAATGGCGGAGGCAAATACTCCAGTCTGGGGGCCGGTACAAGAACTGACCATTGGGATTCCCGTATCCTCATGAGCCTCACTGGGAAGTTAGTGGTTCCTTTTTCTGGGTAAGTTCAGTTCCTGTCAGTTCCAAGGCAATCCATCCCTTGACTGTCACTCACAATTCATCCTTTTTAAAATCTCATCTTCTTAATTTAGATTTTTATCTAGAGTCCTCTCATTACCCTCTAAACCGAAGGTGTCCATTTTTGAAATTGAGAAGTTTCGTATCTGAGTGAACTCGAATTCTAGTTTTTAACAATGGGAATTCTTTTTTGTTTTTCTTTGTAGGGATTCTGTCCACATTTGGAAATGGGTATGTCCTTTATATGTCTTCTAGACGAAAGAAGAAGCTGAGACCTGCTGAGATAATGACGATCAATTTAGCTGTCTGTGATCTGGGGATTTCAGGTAAACTGCTCCCTATTCTAGACCACTCACTGGTTCAGAGAGCTCCCTTCCCTCCACCCCCTCCTGCCCTTTCCCTCACAAATCAAATTTACAGTATTCAGACACAGTCAGTGGAATGCTGTCTGCAGGAAGACCATTCGTTTCATATTTCCTGAGTATTTTCTGTGTACCAGATATGTGAGAGGATGAAGATACAATTAATAACAGTGGATCATGCCTTATATATCTCAAATGGATAGTGGGTCAATGATTCAGAAATCAGAAACTTGCAGGAAGCTCCAATAAACCCTAAGGGGATGATTATCACTGGTTAATGACAACTAAAGGCAGGAGAGAAGTGATTACAGAAGGAAGGAAGATCCTTCCTGTGTGTGATTGCGCCCTCTTCTGTTTGATTATGACTTAAGGCTTGATCAGTAGCACAGGAAGCTTCTGGTTCCCCAGGGCCGAGTCATTCAGTGGGAGGAGCTTAACATTTTTCATGTCCTGGAATTTATAACCAGAAATTTGGATTTAAGTGGTTGAGAATGTAACCTGAGCATTCGGATATTTAAAATTAGAATTTCAAAGCCAGTTCACATGTAGACAAAATCAAGAACTGCTGATTTCTTTCTTGTTCCTTTGACTTATCTAATAACCTAGCAAGGAGGAATGACAATATTTCTCTTTAACTATAACTATAATGTTGTTTGAGTAAGCCACACCCCATAATTTTCTTTGTAAAAGTTCAATGTATAGCCAGCTGTACACTGATAATCACTTTGGATTCCAATCCTTTCTATTTAGCTGGTGGTCTTAGGATGTTAGAACTGGGGAAATAGATATTTGGTTTTTTTTGAGGGGGGAGAGGGTTGTTGTATTTAAAAATTTTAATTGTTATTATGAAGATGATGTATGGAAGGATTATAGTTACATAAGTCAAATAAATAAAGACTACATTTCTTTTTGGCCAATGTCACCCTTCCCTTGCTCTCTCCCAGTTTTTCCCTCCCATCCCCACCCACATATTGTACAGTTCACTTTCAACCTAGTGTCTAGTGAGTATCACTGCTACATTTGTTCACCTTGACCCCCTTACCCTCCCAAAGACAGATAAATGAACAACAAGACAAAAAGAAAAGAAATCATAAACAACAACAAAGAGCAAAACCTCTTGCATCCATTTCCTGGGATTCATTTTGGTGAATATTGTTTTCTGCGCACAGGCATAGTGCCTTTGTCTTCCTCCCCTGAGAGTATCCTCCTTTGGCCTCACAGTCTAGAGTCCTGCATAATTGATCATATCCAGGTGTATTTTAGGTATAGCTTCCACATATAAGAGAAAACAAATTAGGTAAGCAAATTTTATTTCATGTAACATAATTTGTTCAAGTTCCATCCATTTCTCTGCAAATGACATAATATTATTCTTTCTAATGGCTGTGTGAAATTCCCTTGTATATAGGAACCACAGTGTTTTGGATCCACTCTATTGTAGGGCATCTGGGCTCTCTCTCTCTCTCTCTCTCTCTCTCTCTCTCTCTCTCTCTCTCTCACACACACACACACACACACACACACATGTTCACATACACATCCTCTTACCGCTGGAATCCTTTTAGCAGTTTTCCCTCTAATGCCTCCCAAAGTGCTTTCTGATGTAGTTTCTTCATAAAAAGATTTTTTTTTCTACTGCCACCCATTTGTAAAAACAAGCCTTCTTTATTAGGGTATCAACAGAGTTGCTCTTGCATAGCTTTGGCCGTGTTGTCCTCTTATGGAGAACTCTCCCGCAGTTAGTTATTTGGGAAGTCTTCACTCAATGAGGACCAGCTTGTACATACTGGGAGCTCTCAGGGTGAAAGCACATGGCCTGAGAAGTTTCTTTCTGTGAAAACAGCATGGACACCTGCAGTTTTGATATCTGCCACATGATGGCAGTGCCACAACAAGAATGGTAACTTTCTGGGTCATCTCACTTAAAGGCCTGAGGAAGATTCTCCCCTGTACTGGTATGAAATGCCCGCCCGAATAAAACCTGTCATTTCAGCTACATTCTTCTCCAGTGAGTCATACCAGGCGCAGCCTTAAAGCTGAGTTGTGCTAGGCTTGAATAAAAACCTCCTTAATTGTTCTGATGGGCTGGAAATATTTGCAGCCCTCAAGTCTGCTTGGCAGTGCCCAAAGAACAACCCATCAGCATTTTTCTCTTCCACGTGTCAGTTTTCTCTCATTAATCTAGATCACTCTGAGTGAGCACTTATCATACGCTGACTCTTCCAAGAAATGTGAAAATTTCTGTCTGTTTTCCTCCATGCTCACCTCTATTCCATTTCAAGCATCTTAAGGAAGCACCTGCTAGGCATTGGATGTGCAATTATTCATTGTGAATGACTCTCCATCAAGAATGGGTGAGAGCATAATGGGAGAAATGAAAACAAGCGAATTTATGACTGGGCTCAGTTATCCAGGTGGATTAAACAAGAATCCCAAAGACTCATATAAAATCATACACTGGAAGAAAGCCTGGCGCAGCGTGTGCTACCTTGTGTCCCTTGCACACCACAGATGCTAATTTCACTCCATAGTTCACTGTCTTCTACTTACTGCCTTTCTTCTTATATATTTGCTTGGCTTCCAACCCATTGCGTTAAGCATCTACCTACATGCTTCTGCCTTGGTTCAAACAACAAATGTGAACTCTATATTCTAGCTGTCTTCATACCACGAGTCTGTTCTGCCATAGCCTAACTGTTTGGGGGAGGGGAAGGGGAAGAGGACACAGTCAAACTTGCTATCCTCCCGACTCAGCCTCTCAAGTGCTGGACTTCAGCTATGAGCCACCACCCACATCTAGTCTCTGTCACTCTATAGCCTATGATTTAAACTTTGCTTATCATTTGCTTTCTGTACTAGAAAACAGATCTGCCAATCTTGACCTCCTGCAGCTTGTTCTGCGCTTGTTAGTAGAAGGTACTTTCTCTTTCTTCATTCTCCTCTTCCTCTACTTCTTCTTTCCTCCACTGGTAGATTGTTTTGTGGAAAGTTTAATTCTAAAAGAGCAGTGCATGCCCCAGGAATGTACACACATGTCAATAGGATCAATCTATTAAGAATCTGTGTTAATAAATTCAATGAGAAGGAAAATCTTCAGGTTGCTTTAGTAGATTCCGAGAAAACATTTGGTAAAACCACACATTTCTGGCAAAGAAATACTTACTAACAAACCCTCACTGGAGAAGGCTTTCCTTGCCTAATAAATGGCAGCGACAACATCACGGTATGTATATCTGTAAGAGGTCACTTTACCTAGCATGACTGGATAATCTGTGTCTGTTGGTTTGTGTGTTTGCTTTGGAGACCAACTCATGGGCTTCCAATTGAGTAGCATCATAGTTTGCCAATGCGTTTGTGGTGGTTGAATGAAAGTGTATTATATCAAATCTTGTTCCTACGGATAGTGTTGGTAACTCAGGCTTGGAAGGGAGAAATGAATGGAGCATTGGGGAAAGTCAGTGGTGAAAATTTGTAGGGTGGGAGGAATTTTCTCTCATATGACTCACCATGAATATGTTGCCCCTTTCTCTGAGCTGTGGAATGGCCCACTTTAGGAAAACACCAAGCGTGAATCGATTGTCACTGCCCACCGAGATAATGTCTCTCCTGCACTCCCCCAAGCTGGTGTCTTTGAATGGGTCTTTGCAGTAATAATTGCTCAAAAGCATTTTTGTTTCTAGAAGCCCCTTGCGCAATCATTAGTGACTTCAGACCACTTTGGGTGGTCTTCAAGCTCAGTTTATTCAGATACCTACCAGAATGCTATTAACATAAAACTTGCATGCAATAATGTCTGTTCCTTCAGCCAGCCCCAGGCTTCAGGGGTAGAGAGACCCAGGGAATTGTGTGGATAGGGAAGTTTGAGGTCAGAGGAACTTCCCATGACGCGCTCTTGCTGCTTTAGTTGTAGGCAAGCCGTTCACCATCATCTCTTGTTTCTGTCACCGCTGGGTGTTTGGTTGGATTGGCTGTCGCTGGTATGGATGGGCCGGATTTTTCTTTGGCTGTGGAAGTCTTATCACCATGACTGCTGTGAGCCTAGATCGGTACCTGAAAATCTGCTATCTATCTTATGGTAAGTGACCATGTTTCTTATCCCGCCCTGATAATCAAAGTTAGACGGACTGAGTGTCAAAACTGTATGTATTTCACACAGTTAATAAATAAAGATTGTTAATAACCTCAGAGACCCAGACTATTTCTATTTATAGCTTCTCCTGTTCTATTATATGTTGAAGGCTTTGACCTGTATACCAATGTAGCTTTCTTCTAATACTGCTTTCGTAATAATGTCTGATTTTTGGCTGCACTGCTTTTTTTTTTTTAAGGTATCACTTCCTTGTATAAAGTAGAAACTTCGACTACACAGTGTCATGCAAGCAAACAAAAAATGCTGCCTCGATGGGGCATTAAGTCTGATGTTGTAACTGATTATGAGCAAGGCCCTTTGTCATTCCTCTCTGGGATTCAAGCTCTTATGATTTTAGAGATGAGGCGTTCCAACATTTTCACCTCCAACTTTAGAAAGCCAGGTAACTTCTCCTACATGAAAACCACACACACACACACACACACACACACACACACACACACACACTTTTAGGTGGAAAATTGGGGAAGGCTAGGTTAAGACAATACACTCTTTGTTTTCAGAGACCAAATATTGTAAATCATTCTATTGAAAAATAACTATTTTTGCCATGTGCCGGTGGCTCACGCCTGTCATCCTAGCTACTCAGGAGGCTGAGATCTGAGGATCTCAGTTCAAAGCCAGCCAGGGCAGGAACATCCTTGAGACTCTTATTTAGAAGAAACCACCAGAAAACTGGAAGTGGTGCTATGGCTTAAGTGGTAGAGTGCTCACCTTGAGCTGAAAAGCTTAGGGACAGTGCCCAAGCCCAGAGTTCAAGCCCCATGACCAACAAAAAGAAATAACTTTTCTTATGTTCATGTCTGGGGGTTCTGGAAATTTACTGAGCCAGTCAGAGAAAGCTCAGGGCATCTAAATTTTATAAGGGGAACTGAACATAATCAGGAATGAGTTCTACTTCCCTCTGTATCCACTTGCTTTGATATTAAGCTAATAATCAGAGTGTCTAGAACCATGGGAACAGGTTACGCCCGGGAAACTGAGGCATGAATGGTCACCCATCGCTCTCAGTGTGGTAGAATTTCCCTTGGTATCATTATAAAACCTTGCAGTGGTCAAGCTCAAGGAGCCCATGTGTGAGGAGGGGAGCACTGTGGGGGTGGGGAGATTCATGAACTACTGTCTTCATGATCCAGTACTCAGAAAAACAAAACGTGCATCTCTTCTCCTAAACAATTAAAACCTCAACTAGAGATAGCTGGCATCAAAGTTTCCCACAAGATGTCCGCACACACATTCTAGCTGACATGGGGTCTTTTTCTTTGCATCATCTTATGTTGGGTCATGCCGGACCTATTTCAGATTTCATGACACACTTTCTAGACAAGGAGGCAGAAAAGCTCAACCTCCTGAGGCAGTGGGAGGAGAAGCAAACGTCCACTGTCTATGTTTTTACAATATTTGCTTGAGCTTAGACTTTGGCATCAGCTAAAGAGAGGATGCTGCCCCTCGCCAGAATCACTGCAGAGCGAAAGTCTAGATTGGAGCTGCATGGATGTTCTAGCTCCTTCCAAGGCCGAATTGCAATCTTCCTTCATCATTGAATCTAATGAAATCTTAAGCCTACCCCTGCCCCTCCCCCTAAACAGAGTGCCCTAGAATGTAGGAGTTGGAAGGCCACTAGGGGACGTGAAGGCCTTTCTCCCATGTAATGTGGTAAACAGGTGCAAGGCGCCCCCTGGAGATGCCCACTGGGGCTCTTCTTGCTGAACTCCAGGGACCTGTGTCCAGGAGGTTACTCCTGCACAAGGCAGCCCATCCTGTGATTGGTCTGCTCTGGTTGTTACAATGTTATTCCTTATATTGAGACAAAACCTGCCTCCCAGTAACCTCCACCCATTGGTCCTAGTTTTGACTTCTGGAGCAACACAGAACCAATCTGCTAATCTCCTCCCTCCTGTACTTGACAGCATGTCACCCTACTCGAACGTAAGTATACCACACCTCACTAAGTAAAGTAACCCTCACCGGGAATGCTTTTATACGTCTGGCTATGCACCTTCTTATCCGTCTGTGTAATTATCTCTGCCAATGAGTTATGCATTGTGATGGATGACCAAAAGTTGACCTTGGTGGTGACTCGATCATTGCTCTCCTAATTTATTTGGTTGTACTTGAGAAAGTTGCATTTCATGAAACCAAATGCCATGTATTTGAAAAAAAAATGGAGACAAGATAGCTTAGGGACAATCTATGGAATTTATTGTTAGGGCTAAATGATAAACACATAAGCAGAACTTTATAGTTTGCAAAGTAGGCTCCTTAAACTATTTCATTTAACCTTCATCAAAGCCCGCGAACACCGTCTTAGCATTCCTTCCTCTTCCTGGGTAAGAACTCTGAGCATTTAGGAGAAAAGATTAAATACCAGAATTAGAAAAATTCTCGTCTTCTGATTTAAATCTTAATCTGACCTAAAGAGAGGCAGACTTTATACTGAAGAAATAATTGAGCTTTTATTGATATTATAAAACCAAAGTAGTGCAAAGCCACACCCCAGGCTTTTTATGTGAGCTGTGGAGGTAATTTCCTGTGTGGATTGCAGCGGGAAGTCCGGCTGACCTGTTTTCAGTGGTTGAGTTGAATTTTGGAAATGATCACTAGTGATTAAAAACAAATATTTTAAAGATGACTTCCCTATTTCTTCCCATTGGAACTCCCTTTTGGTTAAGGGAATTCGTGCTGGGAAAAAAACTGGAGTTCACTTTCTGCTGTCCTGAAACTATCTTCAGAGAATCACCTTTGTGGCACTCAATGCATTCTGCGTAGGCTCTCTTCCCCTCCTGTCCCGGCCATCTATCAAGAATACGTGAATGTTCAAAAACCTCTAGGATCACAAAGCGCAGTCATTCTCTTTAGCCAGCTATCATGCCCACCGGCCTCTCTCCCAGCTCTGGGGACGACAAAGGATACTAGAGACACAACAGCTTTAGGAAAGAAGGATGTTTTAAAGAAATAAGATGCTAGGTGAAGGTGGCTCATGCCTGTCATCCTAGCTACTCAGGAGGCTGAGATCTGAGGATGGTGGTTCAAAGCCAGCCTGGGCAGGAAAGTCCATGAGACTCTTATCTCTAGTTAACCACCAGAAAGCCAGAAGTGGTGCTGTGTACCTTAAAGTGGTAGAGCTCTAACCTTGAGCAAAAGCAGCTCAGCGACAGTGCCCAGGTCCTGAGTTCAAACCCCAGGACTGGCAAAGACAAAACAACAAAGACAAGACATGTAAGATGTGATTTTTCATCTCTCCTTTGGATTCTTGGTTTGGCACCAATGTGTTTTTTTGATGTCTTCCCAAGGCAGACTGCGGCCTTCCGAATCATCTCCTTTTACTGTCCCATTTTCCCAGAGTTTGCCATCTCTCCCTCACAAAGCTCTTAGCAGTGTAGCGCCAACGATCTCTGTGGCTAGTCTCCTGGAGCAAGGTCTCCCTCGGTTCTGTCACCTGCTCACTTCTCCCAGAATTCAGTGCCTAAACCTTTGAAGGTGGAATTTGACATATCGAGGGGAGGTGTTCGGGTGCAGGGCAGATGACACGGGAGTAACATCTGTTTTCTACCTCCAGGGGTCTGGCTGAAGAGGAAGCATGCCTACATCTGCCTGGCTGTCATCTGGGCCTACGCTTCCTTCTGGACCACCATGCCGCTGGTGGGCCTGGGGGACTACGTGCCTGAGCCCTTCGGCACCTCGTGCACCCTGGACTGGTGGCTGGCCCAGGCCTCACTGGCGGGTCAGGTGTTCATCCTGAACATCCTCTTCTTCTGCCTCCTGCTCCCCACGTCCGTGATCGTGTTCTCCTATGTGAAGATCATCGCCAAGGTGAAGTCCTCGTCCAAAGAGGTCGCTCACTTCGACAGCAGGATTCCCAGCAGCCACGTGCTGGAGATGAAGCTGACCAAGGTAAGGGTGGCCTGGACTTCAGCACAATTCAAACGCCACGGGTGGAGAAGCTAGGGGATGCTGGGAACGAAACAAAAAACCAAACAACAAGGGGGGATCCTATGCCATTTCTGTGCTTCTGAGCTTGGCCTTTGTCATATTCTTCTCCTCTGTCTCTGTCTTTCTCTTGCTCCCTCTTAACGATTTTATAAAAGTGGGTCCATGGGTGATTATCTGTGGGTGTGGGATGTGGTAGAGTGCGTAACAAGTACAAGGCTCTGAGTTCAAACCCTACTACTGCCACACACACAGAGTCCCACACATAGCCACACAAATAGAAAAACTGGGATGAATCATCTAACAGGCCTTGCTGCTTTTCTCCCAGTTTGCATAGATGCGTTGTGAATGTTGTGAAGGACATTCTACCACTCAAATGACTCATGGAGGAAATGCGATGCAGCGTGTGCATCTGGTGGGAAGTTTTTCCTATCATAAGAATGGTTTCTGCGGGGTTGAGTCCCAGGGTAAATCCTAGCTTTATACTTGGCTGTGTCTTAGAAATGGCGATGTAAGGAAAAGAACACCCAATTTGACAACAGATCAGCCTTTAATACTATCCTAAACTTCTCATTTGTGACCCAGAGTTAGCTACTTGGCTTCCTTGAATTTCCTATTTCCTCTCTTGTGCTACAAGAATAGCAATACCTTTTTTGTTGAGTCATTGTAGAAATTCAGTGAGGTAAAGCATCCTGTTCTGTCGCTGGTTGCGTTAGTAGGTGGCAAAGGAATCATAGTTTCTCATTTTTCCTACAGATTTAAGGAATCCTGGCTACAGCCCAAAGCAGCAGTTTCATTAAAGTATAAACAAATTTCTATTGTGACATCTGCCCTAAAATTCAACTACTTTTAATCATGATTCACATCTAACCCTTGATTTCTTTCTACTGAGTGAAGGAAGAAGAAATTACCTCATAGTGGAACTTTTTACAGTCTTAGAAGTCTTTTTCTTAATTCAGCTGCTGCCTGGAGGCTGACGCTAGCTTATTCACTTGCAGTTTCTGATCGGCACAACAGCCTCGTCTAAAAGCCAAGATTCTGGGACTGAAATCATTTGCTTTTCTCTGCACTTTATTCCTAGCTGGGTTATTTTCTAGGTCTGCCTTCTGCTGGGCTGATCTTGGCAAGCTGAAAACTGGCATTGGTCTATAAAACCCAACCTGTAGCCTCTCTACATGTGGGTCATTTCCCTCTAATTAATTGTTTAAAAAAGTGATGATTTAGTTGAATTTTATAGCAGACTGAAATTTCATGGCCTATAGACAGAGAAACAGGCAGACAGACATTAAACATAGACTTTATCTTTCTGGTTCAATGTAATTTCACTTTCACATTTCCACATGACTCGGATGCACAAGTTTCACATTGAGTTGCCAGGCTAAAATCAAGAGAACCAGAGTTTTCTTTTTTTTTAATTTTATTTTATTTTATTTGTGAACATACTGTACAGAGGGGTTACAATTGCATGGGCAGGATAATGCGTACATTTCTTACCAAGCCACATGTTTTCTTTTGTGATAGATATGTTTAAAGATTTTTTTCAGCCCAATCCTTCTCCTTCCCCCCTCCCCCCCACCCCCTTCCCCCCCCACACCGACATTGTAAAGCTCGTTTTGGACATGACAACTTGTACTTCTCATTGTTGCATCAGATCCACCTGTATCCTTAAACAACTGGTTTTTCCCCATCTCCTCCACAAGTTATACTGACATCAAATATAGTGAAAGCAGGGGTTATACTGTGGGGGAGGGACATACAAAGCAACAAAGAGATAATCTTATAAATGCATTAGAAACACATGCATGAAAGAAAAAACATTAAAATACATATCTAAGGGTTCATTTTCCTGACATCACGAGAACCAGAGATTTTCTTATCTTCCCAGAGCCACCTTTATGTTCCAGGTTGCTTTTCATAAGATCATGATGGCGGTGAGCTGGCGATCCTGGTTTGGTTGTATCACCCATGGGCCCGGCCATTTTGCTAAGATATTTAATTGCTTCTCATCTCAGTAACAGTTATTAGGAAGCCTAGTGCATGTTCCTTATCCCAGCGATGAGATATCTTTAGAACATCATCTCAGTAAGCTGTGTCCCCACTCTCTTCTCTTTCTCCCGCAGCCCTGTCAGTATGTATTGGGAGTGTGGTTAGAACCTGGACTAGAGAGGCACAGATTTTCTTCTATGCCCACAATGCATATGCTCTACTGCTTCTAACACTGGTGCTCATCTTAGATCGAATTGACCTTCTCAAGGTCAACAACTAACTCCTCTCACAACCTTTGGGCTATAGCTCTGTAACAAATAGAATGGAAAACTGGTTCTGATTACTATGTGTATCACCTAAATTATTCAGAATAATCTTAATGCTTGCAATTCTTTAGGATTCTAGCTATGGATATTCAAAAAGAATTTCTCCACTCCACTCAAAACCCTTTACATTTGACACACATACACACACTCTCTCTCCTGTATTGATTTAGGTTTAGATTTTGAAACTATATTTATTTTTTAGACTTATATTTTGAAACCAAGAAGCTGATAAATAAATGTTTTATTGCTCTGGGTGTTTCTCTTAGTAAAAAAATTATAATATTCAAAATATTCATAAAAACACCGTCACTGCTAAATGGCGGTAAGATGAGAAAACAATGCCAGAAATCTTCATTATTTCCCCCACTCCCCCAATATTATCATGCTGCAGATGCTGGCTTTATATTCATTGATTCCCATTCATGTAACACATGTCAATCATACACAATAGCTGGTCCTCCAGTGAGGACCCAGATCTAGCAGGTGCCCGGATTCCCCTCAGCATTACTCCTTTCTATAAAAGAGGCTTCCTGACTCTCTGGCCGGTGATGCCCCCTGCCCACAGGGCACTCAGCATGCCACTTTCAGTGGCACTTTTCACGAGGAGCCATGTATTTGTTGCCCTTTTTTTTTCTTGTAAATGTAAAAGTAAGCGTGTATATTCAGTTTGCTTCTGCACCCTACCGCCTGGCACCTACTCAAATGCTTAATCAAGATGGCTTGAATGAATACACAATTAAATGCGCTAATCTAATTGCCTTGATCACTGTGAAGAGCTCCCTTGACCTCTGGACTGAGTGCCTCAGTCCCTTTCATGCCTGATGGGACAGCTCCCTTTGTTTTGCTTTTCCCCATTGATTGTGAAGCATACTGTTTACCATCAATGTCTCCTCTTATTTGTTGCTCTCTGAATGTCATTTATCAATAAAGGATGAGGTTCAGGGAAACTTCTTTGTGGATTGTAAAGGTAGCTGGTGGGAAAACTGAACTGTATTGCTTTAAGATTTTTATTGCTGTTAGAAAGGTGATGTACAGAGAGGTTACAGTTAAGTTAGGTAATGAGTACATTTCTTTTTGGACAGTGTCACCCCTTCCTTTGTTCTCTCCCAGTTTTTCCCTCCTGTACCTACCTACAAGTTGCATAGTTCATTTTCAACACCATGCCCAATGAGCATCATTGCTATATTTGTTCACCCTTTGTCCCTCCGTTTCTGAGCCTCCCCTTATACTCCCAAAGACATATAAATGAACATAGACAACAAAAAGGAAAGACAACAAAAACATATTGCTTTTTAAAAGTTATTTTTCAAGCCAGGCGCCGGTAGCTCATGCCTGTCATCCTAGCTACTCAGGAGGCTGAGATCTGATCATGGTTCAAAGCCAGCTTGGGCAGGAAAGTCCATGAGACTCTAATCTCCAATAAACCAACAAAAAACCAGAAGTGGTGCTGCGGCTCAAGTGGTAGAAAGCTAGCCTTGAGCTGAACTGCTGAGGGACAATGCCCAGGCCCAGGGTTCAAGCCCCACCACTGACAAAAATAATTGTTTTTCAATAATTAACTTCCTTTCCTCTTCTTAGGTGTTCTTAACTTAAATAGCACTTTCCAGAGAATTATTTCCAAAATGGGATGTAATCTTCTTATGCCTCCTTGAATCCTCTCCATTTCCTTCTCAGAAATGATCAATTTTTGAGTTAATGTACAATTACAGACTTATTTATCTGCACAATACCTGTCTTAAAAGTTCACTAAGCAAAGTTCAGAAGCAAAGAAGGATCTGGTTAGCTTGGTGAATAGTGTCAAGCCAGTGGTCCCTCCAGCTGCACCCAAGCCCCTGTGAGGTCTTGCACAATCCACATTTGATATTTATTTGGGTCCTCAGTGGCCGAATCCCTCTCATGATGGAGAGTGTTCACCATCCTTATGAGGAGACAGAGCTACACAGCTCTGAACTTCTAACACCCTGAAAAGTGGATCACTCATTTCCCAAGGCCCCCCCCACCCCTGTAGCTTGAGCATGGCCTGAACCAGCCCCACACCAGACTCCAGGTCCAGGGCTGGGAGAGATGCCCTGCCCCCCAACCATGACTGCAGTAGCTGTAGTGTCTCCAGCTGAAGCAATGTTATGTGTATGTCTGAGTATCATTTCTGCTCACCGAGTCTCCATTCTAAGTACGGTCTTTCCAGTGTGCTCTGTGTGGTCCAGAAGCCTTCCCAGAAATCCCTTCCCTGAACCTCTCAGCCAAAGTCAGTTATGGTTCTTGGAACTCAGACTCTGTACTGGGTACATTTGGGAGCAAACCACTCAAGTTTCCAGGGCTTTACTTTTCTCAACTGTGAAAGTGGAAGGAAAAGAGGAATTCAACGATATTTTGATGATTGTCTTTAAAACTCTGTCGTTCTATAAAAGTAGTTATAGTAGTCCAATTACTTCTAGGGCTATGAAGGTAGATGGCTTGGCTATCCACTTGAGTATCTGTTCCCTTCTAAGCCACAACTTCCTACCTAAGGATCTGGGATCATCCACAGTGAACAGAAAGCTGCTCTGCTCTCCTCTCCACGCAGGATACTTGTACAGCACTTCCTGTCCTTCAACGCAACCACAGGCTAGTCACGGAGTATGTGTGTGCTCGGTTTTAGACCACAATTCCAAGACATTGGTGTTAGAGTGACATGACCTAATTTGGCTCTTCTCACTTGAATCACAGCTTTTGCTTGTTTCCAGAGTAGTTTATTTTAAGATTTGAGAAAATAGCAACTGGGAAATGTAGAGTTCTTCTTTTCTGTTTTAGCAGGGATTCACATCGGTTAGCATGTGGCAGGTGCAGGGAAGATCTCAGAATATGTAGGTGGTATTTGGTGTAAGTTTTATGGAGGAGGCTTTGAGGGAGTGAGGCCTTGTTATTATCCCATGGGGGAGAGAGAAGAAAGGGAAAACTCTAAGTAGACATGCTTAGGTTGCCGAAGCAGTTAATATAGCTCAAAATCACCATCTTCTGTTTTGATGAAGTAAGTTGTCAAGTACCAACTTTCTGTTGGTACTGTGTCTCAGTGACCATCTTTCCACCTGCAGACAGCAGCAGTCTCAGAATTGATGTTTGTTACCCCATCACTATCCTTTTTAACAACATTTCCCCAGGGGTGAAGAGCAAATCCACAGACTTGGTAAGTAGACCCAAGGCAGCAGAATCAAATGGTGGCATCCTCCTGTTCCCGCCAATCACAGGCTCCCCCGAGGCGGGTCAGGACCTCCCCCTTTGCCCTTCTCTTTAGATAGTGACCTCATCCACGGAGCCACTGAAATGCCTGTGCACCGGGTTCTGTGATAGGACTCACTGCTCCATTCTGTCACCCTGGCCCTCCTTTTAAGCTTTTGCTTTCCCACCCATTCCATGTCTTCTCACCTTATTTTGTTTTCCAACGGAGCTTCCGGCTGAAGTCTGACTCCTGTCTGGGTGGAGGAACTTGGTGGGAGGAGCTGGACCACCTGGCTAAGAACTTGTGCATGGAGCAGCAGGGGTCTGTTTTTTGTGTCCCACTCTCATGAAGGGGGTGGAACCATGGCTGAGGTCATAGGGTATCTGGGAACCAATGGCATTCCCACACTTGCACACGACCTCACACACCCAGAGAGGGTGGGGTAGTATCTGCCTCCTCAGACCCCCGGCCTGCCTGGATGCCCCCACTGGGCTGTGCTGCCCCCAGAGGCAGAGCTAAAACCACACGTGACCCACAGAACTCACTAGAAACCCTGTGACTCCACTGTTGCTTTAATCAGCTCATTCACTGGGCTTGGATGGGGTGATTATGGATAACAGTGCTTTTGTGCTCCTTCATGGCAGATTTGAGCTGGAGGTGGGAAATACCGAGGTCTCCAGGGGCCCTCTGTAGCGAGGTTTATTTAAAACAAACCGAGTTGCAGATGTGTGATGCTTTTGTAGCAGCTAAGCACATATTCTGTGAATATCCTCCCACAAACCCGCCTAATTTAAGAATTTGAAGTTTTACTTGCTTTGTCAGTGAACCAAAAGGCAGTGATAGAAGTGAAATTATTAGAAAATAATATAACAGGGCTGGGAAGGTGGCTCAGTGGTAGAGTGCTTGCCTAGCATGCAGGAAGCCCTGGGTTCGATTCCTCAGTACCACATAAACGGAAAAAGCCAGAAGTGGCGCTATAGCTCAAGTGGTAGAGTGCTAGCCTTGAGTCAAAGAAGCTCAGGGACAGTGCCTAGGCCCTGAGTTCCAACCCTAAGACTGGCCAAAAAAAAATAATATGACAGGAAAACTTGGATGTTGTGAGTGCCTTTTTTGGAACTGCTTTAAGGGTATTTGGGAGGTAAGTTCTGGGAATTCAAAACAGTTTTAGAATTTGCAAAAGTGAGGGACAGACTTATAAAAGGATGAAGCCCAGTAGAAAGTTCTGGAAAAAGGAATGCAACATGACAGTTTTTAAAATTCTTGTGGAGTTTCAAATCTTCAGTCACTTTTAAAATCTTCATTTAAAATCTTCCATTCACTTCAGAAAGACAAATATATTGTACGGCACCTTTCCGATCTAGACTTTACTCCCTGGTTCTGCTTTAGATTTGATTTTCTTTTGTGTGTGTTGGTATTGGACTTTGAAATCGGTGCCTTGTACTTTCTAGACAGGTGCTCTACATTTTGTCCCCACAAGATCCTTAGTTCCATTTTCACTTGTGTATATGGAAGATGATGACTCTCTTTCCCACCACGCCTCTCTCCATTCATCCATTCTTCCCTCACACACAACGTGTTTCTGGTATTCATTTTGTTAAGTGATATTGATCCATTTGTTAGTTGTAGGACATCTGGGCTGTTTCCCTTTCTGGACTATGGTGAATAGTGTTGTGATGAACAAGGATGTGCAGGTGTCTTTACAGTGTCCTGACTTAACAGTCTTTGGGCTACATGCCCAAGGGTGGAATTGCTTGATCATAAATAGTCCTCTCTTTATTTCCTTCTTTTTAGATCTCCATACTGACTTCCACAGTGTTTGGTTTGTCTTTTTAATGGTGTTGGGGATCCAACCCAGTGCTTCAAACATGTTAGGTGAGCAGTCTGCCACTGAGTTCAGTCTCCAGGCTTATTTTTACTCACCCCAGACATGTAGTTCCATAGACAAGAGAATGAGGCTATGAAAGTTGCCTTGAGTCCAGTAACTCTGCCCCCACAAACGCTTATATTAATATACACACACACACAACTTGGTTATAATAAAACTATGTGCCATTGACTCTGAAAATAAGAAGTAAAACATCACAAATGTTGCTTTCATTGCTGTTTTATATCTTGCCACTGGTCTTCCACACAACTTGTTACCACCCTGAGCTGGGGACTCCTACCCTCTCCCCAACCCCTCCCCTCCCACCTTAAGTTAGGGAGTGAGAGAAAGAGGGAGCGATGTGGCCTCAGATAGTGCCATTCTGACACCTTCCAAAGGTTTAAGGGAACTCAGAGTTAAATAGAAGTTTTAAAATTCCAGAAATGAAACTGGCCAAGCTTCCTGTTTCAATTATGATAGCCTAGGGCACAGAGTTCTCTGATTGGTCAGCCTTAAGTCACATGATGCCTAGAACATCAGCTCCATTAAACTCCAGGGAAGCAGAGGCAAGCTGGGATTACTAATATAGATGACCCACTGGTCTGATTAAAGACAAACAGAAAATCGCAAATCAAATGATGTCCACTACCTAGGAGGCTGATTTGAATTGTTTCATTGCATATCTTACAGAGACCAGGTGCAGATACTCAGAAGGCAACAGCATATGGTAGAGAATAGGATGTCGGCTAGGGCCTGCAGCACAATCAAGCTTTATGTAACAGTCAAAGCTTTGACTTCATTTGCTCATTTTGTACTCTAATTAACCTTCCCCCCTCTTTTTTATTTAGACAGTTGTCTGAAAAAATCTGCTAAGACTGGAAATTGTACTCTTGTGGGCAGAGATGTACCCTGATCCTCTGCACAAAGCATGTGAGATGTCCAATAGTACTTGTTGGCCGAATGAAGGAATAGTGATCTTTTTACCTGCTATTTTCTTTTCCTGCTTCATTTTGCTTTCTAGGTGAAACTTCCTGAGGAGAGGCCTCATTGTGTATTCTGGACATACATCTTCTAGTGCTTCAAAAAGTGAAGGGTCAGCTGAGTAATGTGTTACCCAGTACACTGACCACATGAATGTAATTGGTCTTTGCAGCCTCCCCTCCCTCTGTTGCGTTCTCCTATCAAAGTGAATTGCTCATGAGTTTCTGTGCACACCTCCCTCGTTCTTATCTGTACCTCTGACCATGATGACCTCAGCATTATAATTTTCACATACTTTTGGCACAGTGGCAGCAATATGCTACATCTTCCATGGAACATCTTAATTTACTCAATAGACTATATTTTTATTCGCTGATCTGTTATTTAACTTAGGGTTCGTTGCATTCTACAAGGAGACCATTTTAGTATTAAGGTGTATTGGAGTTTGCTACAACCATTGACATAGAATCTTGCTCAAAGCATTTGTTAAAAGGTTTTGTTGGCCCAAAGTGAGATATTTTATAGGGGCCAAGTAGGTAGCCAGAGGACAGTAATTAGAAGTACATTATTGAATGGATTGTTGGAGATGATGAAAATTTATGAGGGTGTTCAATATTGCATTTCTAATTATTCCTGGGTCCAAAAACGAGGAGGCCTTCAGGTAATTATAATTTTGTATGAGAGAAGAATACTTTCTGGAAAAATCTCATTTTATAGAACCACACCGCTTTGATTGAAGCTGAATAAATCTGTTTCGTTGGCTAGCCAGTGAATTTCCAGCATCTGAGACTCAAGCTTAAAGAAAAACTTCACCCAAGAGAAATAATATTTAATAGAAATCCCCGAAGATAACGTGTATTAGAATTTCAAAAGGCAAACAGAGGTTCTCAGTTTCCTCAGGCAAATGGAGATGATTTAAAATTTCATCATGGTGAACATACATTATCTGCCAAGTCTTGAAGTGAATGTGGATTGAGGAGACTGGAAAGTTCAGGGGAACTGCTGTCTTTCTGTTTATTATGTTGTTTTTCTTTATTTGCCAAAAAATGCAGCAAAACCATGATTAGTATAGGGTCATTATCTTGAGTTTTGGTCCCTTCCACATGTAGAACACAGAGTGGATTGAATGTGGACAATGAAATAAGGAATTGGAGTGATTGCTTCTGGAGAAATGTCCCAGAAGTGTATATGAAGTGGCTCCCATGGGTAAAGTAAAGGGGCCAACAGGAGACAGAGTTTCTGGGGGTGGGAGGGAGTGGCTGGTCTTTCTCCACCCCTGTCCTCCCAGAGTCTTACCATTCACCAGTCTCTCGGTGCTCCTCCCTTTGTCCTGTCAGGTGGCCATGCTGATCTGTGCTGGCTTCCTGATTGCCTGGATTCCGTACGCAGTGGTGTCCGTGTGGTCGGCCTTCGGGAGGCCAGACTCCATCCCCATCCAGCTCTCCGTGGTGCCCACCCTGCTGGCGAAGTCTGCCGCCATGTACAACCCCATCATCTACCAGATCATCGATTACAAATTCGCCTGCTGCCAAAACCGTCGTTTGAGAGCGACCAAGAAGAAATCTTTGGAAGACTTCAGGTAATTTTTTTTCTTTCTTTTTTTTTTAGCAGCTGGAAATGAATCTTATTTTCTTGGTTTCCCAAAACCTGGGGTGGTTCAAGCCTCGTTGGGGTGCTAGCATCTGAGAACTAGAGCTGAGCACCTAGGCGTAGTTTCGGGAAGACTTCGTTGTTCTCTTTACCTGAAGTTTCTGAAACCAAGTAGCATGACACATCGGGGTTGGACCATGGGGTAGTAAGAAAAGTGATTCTAGTTTTTTCTTATATCTAAAATTACAACTTCTTATTTTTATTATTAATTGTTTTATTGTTATTAAAATGTGATTCTGCTTTTGAGCTGGAAACAATCAAAATGCCACACCACACCTACTGGAACAACTACCATGTGTCAATGGCGCTCAACTACTTCCTTATCTGTGGCAGAATCCATTTTACTTCAAGAGAAACTCTTACACAAGGCATTGACCTAAAATTAAGTTTTCAGAAAAGAATGATTTTGTTTTTGTTCTTGTGAGCATGCACCACAACCAGTAGCTAAGAGCAACAGGACTTTGGCAGAAAGAGAGAAGGAGGAGAGAGGTGCTCTTTTGGCTGTGTGCAAGGTTTTCCATTTTATGCTCACAAGATCCCAGTTATACTTTCTTCTTGTCAGATGTGGAAATTGAGATTCAAGTAATGCTATGGCTTTAGTACCTGTCCTTGGTTACAGAATAAACCAAGAAAATTTCCTCCTGTGCAATGAACAAGAGGGCTCAGGGAAGCCTAGATGGGGAAGAGAGGAGACAGAGTGAGAGTAAGAGAAAGAGAGAGAGAGTAAGAGAGAGAGACAGAGAGAGAGAGAGACAGAGACAGAGAGATTGAGGCAGAGAGACAGAGATAGAGACAGACAGACAGTGAGAAAGAATGTCATTGAAATGAATCTCTGCACTTACTCAAGGTGGGTCTTTGAGTCAAGTGTGAAACAGATAGCTCATTTCTTTGAGTTGAGGATTGGGTAGGAGGAGGGGAGATGGTCCCAGGATTCTTGGCACTCACTTAATGTCTGGATATCTATTGATTCCTCTTCCTTTGAATTAGTAGAGAGAACAATGGAGCAAAAAGAACCAGCCACAAAGCTATGAGAAGTATAGGTTTTGTCTTGTCCCGTCTCTGTGCTTGAGTGACAGAACTCTCATGAAGTTCAGTTCCTGACCATGAGCACATGAGAAAGATGATAAAAAAAGTACAAATAAAAGTGATATTACCATTGTTGCTGTGATGCAGGGGACAGGAGCTACAACATGGAGATAAAAGCCCAGTATGAATGTAGCTATTTGTGATAGCTCTTTCATTTTGGACAAATTCACTGCATACAGCCTAGGATTGGGATGAGCTGACAATAGTAGGAAAATATAACAAATAATAATGTATATGTGGAAAAAGTCTAGGTAACAATTGTTGGCATATGTTTTTTACTGTCTTGTGAGTGGTTAATGCCTTTTCTATGGAATAGAATAGTTAAATCCAAGTGCTAGAGGGTAACTATGTTAGGGAGTAATAACACTTTGCCTTCATCAGCTATTGATACTTTATTATGAATGCAGGTAGAGAGAATATTTTAGTAGAGTGATGGGGAGAAAATAATGGCATACTTCTTCATCTAAAGGAGACGAGAATTTGACAGGAATAGCTGGAAGCAAATTTCACCTAGCTCATAATTTCACCTCACACTGGCCCTGTGTTCTGTACATTCACTCTCAAATGGGAGCAGCCCATAAATATTCAAAATCCAAGAAGGAGAAGAGGGAAATTTATGTGGAGAAAGTGACTTAGGGCCACAAACCTCTGGAAAAAAATCAGCCAGGCTCAGCTCACCTCTCCTCATTACCCCTTGGTATGAAATTCAGCCATTGCTCTGCTGAAGGAGGCAAAGACTCTTTCTTTGCTATGGAATTTCTGTTGGGGAGTAGTGCAGAATCAGCAATAAGACTTGGGATGCTAGACATGAAACCATCTTCCAGGAAGGCAGTCTGCAGAGGTGTCCAGATGCAGAATTTAAAAGGGCCTACCTCAGGAAAGAGTAAAAGACAGAAATTAGTCAACAGAGATTTATTTTTCATCTTTGTAATTTAATTTAATTTAATTGATCGTGGTTGTCATTAAGAAGTAAAGCAAATAAGAACTGTGGAGGTCCTTAGTATGACTTGAACTGATAGGATGCTAGTCCCAGAAAAGTTGATAAGCTACCAGAATAATGGAATTCATTCAATGGGACCAACCAATCAATCAATCAATCAATTAACATTTGTCTTTCCTTTTTATGCAGCACTGGGGATAGAGCCCACATCCTGGGTTGTGTTAGGGAAGAGTCTTTCTATTTGCCCTATGCTCCTAGCCCTGTGGCTTTCTGAGCTCTGAATAATACTCCTTTATCAGAGAAGATTTTCTTGGGAAATATTTTGAGTTCAAATAATCAAAGCAAATGTATGAAATATGAGGTTAGGGAAACACATTTTGAGTAACTTCAACCATTCCTGCAAAGATAAACTGAGTTCACATGCATTGAGTTTGTGAAGATTTTGGTAGAAGCTGATAAACCAAAGGAAAAGATGTAGCCATGCCTCTGGTCAGAAATTCTGTCCTTCTTCCCACCCCGGGAGTTCAGCTGCCATATCTTGTCTTGGGGAGCCAGTGGTTGGGTGGCCACACCGTGTTGACGTGACTTGGGCCTGTTTTCATTCTCCCAGTGCATTCTTCATTGTTGAAAGCCAGTGAGGCAGAGGCTGAGAAAGGAAAACATGGGATTGAGACGGGGGGGCAGGGGATGAGGGGGTGTCCACCCATGACCCCACATCTTTGTCTCAGCTTACAAGGAGACCTGTGAGGCTGTGTATGGTCAGTGATAGGGTACTTCACATGGTAGGCTGATCTTAGATGGAAAAGCAATGCCCAGCAACACAGGGCTATAGCTTGAGCGATAGAAGTTTTGTAACTGAGTGTTATCATCGGTGACTGCTTTAGTTTGCGGTTCTGCCTTTCCAGAGAGTACACGTTTCATACGTCAGCCACAGGGACTGTCTGAGGGGCAGGTGGGGCTATGACAGATTTTGTTCTAGAGAATGCTCATGGCAGAGAAATACATCTTAAACAAGTAGTTTGGTTTTAGAAAGCTCTGTCTGAAAGAACTACTTGATTTTGTGTATTCTAAATTGAACAACTTAATCTCTAATTCTTCTAATTCAAGTCTTATGCATATAATCTCCACGGCAGTCAAGTTGACAGGATATACACACGTGGGAATGTGGCATATGATATCTGTCTGCATAGCTACTACCTATCCATCATCTGTGAATCAATCCATCAATCAGTCTATCATCTATCTGTCTGTCTGTCTATCTATCTATCTATCTATCTATCTATCTATCTATCTATCTATCTATCTGTCTGTCTGTCTGTCTGTCTGTCTGTCTGTCTGTCTGTCTGTCTGTCTGTCTGTCTGTCTGTCTATCCATCTATCTATCTCACCTTGCATTTTTCTTGTTTCCAGGCTGCACACTGTGACCACAGACCGGAAGTCTGCTGTGCTGGAAATCCATCAAGAGGTATGAAGATGGACACATCACTCACGGACACATGAATTCACTTACTTGCCTCTTTACTGCTGTTAACATTCTATTGTGGCCACGCTTTCCTCCTTATATTATATATTTTATATTGTGTACACTTTCTTTGTCTCTCCATCCACCAGCTTTTCTAGGAAATCCCAGGGACCAGACAGAAATGAGATGATAGCACCCCCCTTTAGGGAATATTGGCAGGATAATCAATCCTGGAACTTGAGGTTTTACTTTAAAAAAATTGACTCACCAACCTGTATTAAGCCTGAGACATTAGGGAAAAAATGCAAAGAAGTTTCCTTTATTAGATTGTGATGTCATTTTATTCCACCTTTGGCAGCGTTTCCCAGTGTAGGGTAGTGATGCAGGCTCTGGGGTTCATTTTGTGGGACCATGTGTGGGGGTATTAGTTGGTGCTTCTGGATTTCATAGGAATTCTCTGTTCATTCTAGCAGAAGTTTGGACTCTATTTGGCAATAATTCTTTACAGGAGTCCGCTAGGGGAACAAGCTTTTTCTGAAATCCCTACATGGAAAATTCTATTGCATCTTTGTATTGAGCACAGAATAATTCCCATGGTTGGCAATTTTACCCACATGGCTTTTCCCACTCGTGAAGTTCTAGTCACTGATCCGGCAGCCCTAACAGGATGCTATTAGCGGTAATGAATTCAGTGGAAATTGCTGTTCCCAAGGACTGTTTCTTTGTGTTTTCTTTGTGATCCTGCTTCTTTCTTTCATTCATTTTTTTCAACAAATACCTGTAAGGTTCATAGATAAAGGGATGCAGATATGAAGATGAGCTGATGGATGGATTGATTCCAAAGGGAAGATCCTCATCCTGTAAAAGCTAATGAAAGAGGAAAGCATAAATACTAGCAAACACTAGATTTGCATAGAACTCCATTCCCATTTCTCTCTCATTCTCCCTTCTGACCTAAAGACAGGCGCTGGTATCTCCCTTGCTCCTCCATCTCATCTTCCTCCACGTCTGCTCGGAACTTTAGCCTTTCTCATCAAATCCACTTCTATGCTTTTGATAGCTGCTTATGAGAAAAGTGAATCGGGGAAGAAAATGGCTCCTCAGGTGCCGATGTGAAGAGACCCCAAAGATCTCTTTACTCCATAAGGCTCAGCCCTCTGTATTTGACACCTTCAGTTCCTTGATCATTTGGTTTTCTTGAGAAGTAGAGGATAAGGAAGACTTTGATGAGTGCTATCGCTTTGAATGGCAAAGAACAGCCATTACTCCATGACTAAGGCAAAAAGAGTTAACAACTCTATCTAGGACTAGTCACTGAGTCTCATAGTCCGAAGAGAAGAGATACAATAAATCCTCAGTAGGTTATGGAGGCAAGTGATTTGTGGCAAGATGTGTTAATATACAGTGTAAAAGAACATGGCAGCTTCCGATGCTGGTTTAAAGCACAGAGTTACATGACTAGGATTCGTCTCCCAGCACCGTGCCATTGGCAGACTTGTAAAATGGAGACACGAGTGACAGTAGGTCAGGTTCAGTGTGAGGGTTAGATGAGATCGTATATGTAGTAGTCACTTAGAACAAGTCTCTGGCAGAGGAAGCATCCTGTGTGTTCTGATTGCCATTAAGGTAGATGGTGATGCTGAGAAATGGGGATGGAAGACCCGGAAGTTATGAAGTTTGTAATGTTCCCGTGCACAAGTGTGGTAGCTCCGTGGAGGACAGATTGTGTGTGTGTAAGCAAGGAGGATCAAGATGACGAGGCTATCAGACTAATTAAGGGGTTGAAGACATTATAGTTGAAGAGGGCCTGGATTAAGAAATGGCTTTGAAAATACAGAGAAAAATATGGTTTTAAAACCTTTTGAGAAGAGGTTCTTGGAAATTGATTGTGGGAAGATGATACCGCATGTCGATGATGGCTCAAAGTGCACCTGCGTAGGAATAGTGTGGAAAAGGAGAAATGGCTGATTCACAAGCAGTGTGTATGTGTTTGTGGACGAGATGGTGGAGTGAGGGGAGGGAAGAAGCGGGAGAAAAGGACGTTCAGGTTACTATAGATTTGTCTGGAAGGTGAAGTTTAAGGTTGGCCTTGCCCAGATATTCCCCAAAGGAAGAATGTACACTCTTCATTTATTAACTGTTTAACCAAAGCGTGGCCTTTAACACAACTTAGAGAAGCATGTATGAGAAAGGATTATCATAGCGAGGAGGGAAAAGAGAGTTTAAATATGAGGTGCTTTGGGAGAGGGATCCTGGAGCTAATTTCTCTGCTAATTTGAATATACGACTGAAGTCCTCTCTGCTTTGATTCCACCCGTATCCGAGATACCCAGAGAACTGGGATGCACCAGAGATGTTACCAGGATTGATGCAGAATGAGGGTGTTAGTTCTTGGGGTGGAATTCAGAGGTGGCTGCGTAAACCAGCCTGTCAGTGGGTCACTTGTTTAGTATGCAGTGATTTGAGGAAACACGGTGCCGTCACCTAGCATGTAGTTTGAGATGTAGATGAAATTAGCTTTGAATAAAAGATATGGCATCCCATGCTATGTCAAGGACAGGGTTTAGAAAGGCCCTATGAACTAAAAAAGATGGATTTGAAGAATCATACTATTATGACTCAGGAAACTAGGAGGATTGAGGTCCAAAAGCTGGCTTGGGCAAAGTTGGTGTATGATTCTAGATGAAAAACCAACTACAAACAAACTACCTGGGCATGTGGTTCAAATTAAGAGAGTGCTTGACTATCAAACTACAAAATAATACAAGCAGGGAGAATCACAATAAGGATCATAACAAAATCCAAATGCATTTTGATACTTTACAAGTAGAACGAGGCGATTGAAATGTATTTTACAGTGAAATCCAATTATTTGATTCTTAAAATGAGATTTTACTCAAGAATCAAACATTGTACCTATTTATCACTGAAATGGTAACTAAACAACATGTCTCATGTAATTTAGTTGAAAAACATACAGCTGCCTTTGATAGTCTTTAACAACAGGAACCACAATTCCCTGAATGGGAATAGAATATTTGTCCACTAAGCCAGTGCAAACAAAGGAGAGAAGACTTAAGAGAGGGAGACAAAGAGTTTAGCAGTGCTAAGAATTTCCAAAGGATAATGTAGGTCAAAATATCCGTGGATATCAGAGAAGAAGATGCATACCGTTGTAGAAGAGAGATGTTCACAAGGGTAGGTTTTGAATTCATACTCCAGTTTATTGAGAAGCAACCAGGCCCTTATGAGATAGAGGTAAAAATAGGAACCCTTTTCCATTCCTTCTCTTTCAGTTTTGATGGGTTTGAATCAAATGTGTGTATTGGTAGAGTTCCTTGGATACCCGGGAGGTGTCCAGCTGTCTGGGAATGTGACACACACTTGATTTGGTGGCAGGAGGTATCTGTAGTTGGCCTGCAGGAAATCCTGAGTGTTAGAAATGGGTCTCTTGAGAAGAAGCCCATGAGAGCCGGGCTTGGGCAGTCGAGTGGAGGTATGTTCCATGCCACTGAGAACCTTCTGGAAGCAGAAGCGGGGCTGAGGTGAGAAGACAGTTCTCTGCTCTAAAACTGTGGGATACCAGAGGCAGAATTAGAAAGGCTATTTGTGGCTAAGGACACTTGAAGAAATTCTGTTACCTCCGTCTTGGATTCCTAGATGGAGAATGCATTTAAAGGACAGACGATTCCCTTTTGCACTGGGTGGTATCCGTGCACTAATGTATGGAGGGCGATTTAAATCCTTGCCACCCCAAAGGTAGTCCGAGGGTCTGAGTGTCTCCAGAAAGCTGGTTAGAAATGTACATGTGGGTCTCACCCTCTGAGCTGTCAGATCGCCATCTGTAATTGAACTGGGTGACTTTGACTGACTGAACTGGCCTGACAGCATGCCAGTTCAAGTTGGTTAAGTCAGCGGTCCTGTGAAGACGACGAGGTGACACATCTTTTCCCACGGGACGTGGTAACAGGTGCAGCAGAACCAGGCCGATAGACAGCAAGGACATGCTGGCGGCCTCTGTAGCGGTTGCACGTGAGCCCTCTGTGAACAGGACACAGTTCAGAAAGGACATTCGCCTTTCAATGCCAAACTACAGTGTTCTAGATTCGGTTTCTCTATGCTATATTCTGTTGCTGTCCACTTCCCACACCTACCCGCCCCCCACGTAACGCACGCTCAAAGTGAACAAAAACTACACACAAATCTAACGTATTCGAGCAAAAGCAAAGCATCAGAGCTGTTTGAGCACAATCAGCCGAATTTGCCAAGGAGCCTGTGGTATTTGCTGCCCAGAATTGGGTCTGATTCTTCACAGATTTGAGACTCCATCCTTGTAGAAACAAACCGTGGAGGGAGCACAGGTCGGTGACAGGTTTCCAAGGCTCGGGAGTGAAGAAAGATGACAGAAAGACAGCAAGTGACTATCAACACTTCCCGAGTAGGTGAAATTGGCACCTTCCTCCCAATAGAGGGCCACTGAAATCTATACAAACACTGCCAAGGGAGTGTTTTGCAGGTACTTGCCACCAGTGAAGACTTGGCAGGGTAGCCTTCTAAAAGAGAATCTTATTCTTCAATTGAGCCCAAAGGTGAGGTGTGCGAATAGGGCCCTTCAATCAGAAGGGGAAGGAAGCAGGCATATCACAAAAGAGATACCTAGCCACAGAAGGAAAGATGCTCCAAGGAAGAGAGGGTGAAGCCTACTTCTAAGCTGTTTTATGCGCTGGGGTGGAAGGCAGAGAGGCTGAGCAATCGGCGGTCAGGTGAAGCGGCCAGCTCACAGGAGTTGTTCAGGACAAGAGTTAAAGCAATGGAAATGTATAGGGGGCGAACAAATAAAGCAGAAACAGGAGGCAGAGTGGAGGCAAACCTGAGCATCTGGGAGAGCTCAGCAGCCAGACCATTCCGTGTCACTCTGGAGGTAGCAGCCACTGCGGGCTCAGGGCCTGAGAGGGAGGATAGGCCTGGCAGATCCCCAAAATAAAGGTGGGGGGTAGGGGGCA